CGCAATGCCCCTTTCCTGGGACTGCTGCGGGCTTCCGTGAGACAACACGAGACCAAACCACAGATCCCCCTGCAGGTTCGGTGCCTGGCGTGTGCCTGCTGCAGGGAGCTCATGGGACAGGGAGACCCTGAGAGGGGCCCCCAACTCAGGCATCATAGGCTCCTTATCGCTCCATGAATCTGAACCACCGACAACATGTTTTAGGATGGAAAAGGGTGATGTGAGCCGCTGGGCAGGGCCCCTGCCTGGGTGAGGGTGGACCCAGGCAAGCCGCTGCCCGTCTTTCAGCCTGGTGTGGCTCCCAGCACCCGGCCTTTCATGGTCTCCTGGGTACTCCCAGCTCCTTAGCTGGACCAGGGAGGTCAGCCAAGACCGAGCCTGGGACATATTCTCATCTCCTTCCACACCACCATGTGCCTCTGGGGACTCACTGAATTGCCCAGGGAGGACTGAGCCCCTGACTGCGAGGGGCTCCTGCGGGCTCACGTTCCCGCTCCATGCGCCCAGCACAGGGCCTGGGGAAGAGGAGGCGAAAATGCCAGTGTGGTAATTCAGGAGGTGCCTCCCCCCACCCTCCCCACTGCCCGGGACCTTGCTCGAAGGACATGAATCATCCAAGGTCCAACCTTTGCGTCCAGTTCAGCGTGGTAGGAACTTGAAGTTGTTAATTCATCCTAACAAGAAGTAAAAAAGAAAAAAACACCCCAAATCAGCAACTCTTCTTAGAACCCTAAGGGAAGTGAGACCACACAGCAAACTGACCCCCCACCCCCACCGCCAAGACTGGAGAGACAGACAGGTGTATATGGAGAACGGCCACTCACTAAGGGCAGGCTCCCTGGGGCCCGTGCCAGGACAGGAAATCCGGAGCAGTCCCGAAAGAGCCCCTGGGCACAGTGTGCGCAAGTGTAAGAGCTAAGATCTGTCGGGAAGCCGAGCACGAGGGCCGCTTGCGTGAGTTTCGCTTCCAGGAGCTCTACGAGGTGCTCACCACAAAGTTCAGAACAGAATTCTCTTCTGTGTCAGGCAGGAAGAGAAGCAGCATGGCCACCGTGCAACAAGCCAGGGCATCCTGTTCTTCAAAAGCCCAGCTTTTCGGAGAGACTGTCTTGCCAGAGTCTAATCTGCTGGGTTTTTTCAGAGCTGGACTATCTGCAAGAAGGGAAACACCCACACCCGGCCTCTCTAGCCTGCCTCATGTGGGAAGGGTCACACACAGCCCCAGGCCCTACTACTCATCCTGTGTCATTTAAGTCAAGGAAACACTGAGAGGCCCTTGTAATGTCCATGGGTTGGCTCAATGAAGATCTACCCACAGGAGCATGGAACACTCCCCTTCCCGCACACCATGCCCCTGCATCACTAAAGGACGGTTTGCAGCAGTTTCTTTTACGCAGTATATTACGTCTGGCGTTCGACACAAAATTCTAAGGCATGCTAAAAGTCAAAAGCCATGGTTTGAGGCAATGGGGAAAATGTTAGAACCAGACTCAGCCATGGCAGGGACCTGGAGTTATCGGCTGGGAATTTTAAACAACTGTGATGAATGCGCTAAGGACCCTCATGGAAAAGTAGACAACAGGCAAAAATAGACGGGGAATGTGGACATCGAGATGCAAATTCCCAGGACGAGTCAAGAATAGCTTCTGGAGATCAGACACACTGTGACAGAGACAGAGAGGGCCTTCGCCCGGCTTCCGAGTAGACCGAGCACAGCTGAGGAGAGACTCTCCGAGCCTGAGGGTACGTCAGTGGAGACTGGAAGCTGGAAAGGAAAGAGAAGAAAGACTGGAGGAAATGGAACGGAACATCTGAGGCCTGTGAAACGATCGCCAGAGGTGTGACATACACACAGTGGGAACGCCGGGGGGAGGAGAGAAAGAAAGGGAAAGAAGAAATATTTCAGTCGGTACTGATTCATGTCAGACGCCGTGAGAAGCAGAAAAGTTCCCTTCAGAGTTTCCTTTCTTGTTAAGGACTAAATCCTTCTTGCTTTTTGCTGTAGCTCTTTGTGAAGCCCTGTCCTGTGTAGCTGTTAGACATGCTCACGGGCACGCAGGACATTCTGTGTCCTTGTGCTTTAACCAAGACACCTGGGCCGGACGTGCGCTCAGGCCTGTCCCAGCTCGCAGCCTGTGACCTTCCTTACTGGGACTTCCTTTTGTTCGCCACTGCTTTTGCCTGTTTAGAAAAGCTGTAAGTTGTTAGCCAATCAGCGTTTAGCTCAGATTGTGAGGTCTGGCTCCAACCAACAGAGATCAGACACAGCAGTGAGGACGACCCCAGATGCATAAGGGATAAATATGTCTGCTTTTCCTTTGTTCGTTGTACTCTCCTGGCAAGATGGCTGAAGAGGATACCCTTTCTGCATTGCTGAGAGATCCTTTGTCTTAGCGCTGATTTTTCTTTGTGGCATGGAGCATCTGTTTCCAACAGACACCAAACCACAGATTCAAGAAGCTCAGCAAACACCCCAAGCAGGATAAACACAGAAAACAAAACAAAACAAACATACACGCCGAGGCATATCATCTTCAAACTTCAGAAAAATCAAAGATGGAAAAGAAAGTAGGGGTTGGGTGAGGGACACCTTATTTACATAGGAGCAAAGCTAAGCCCAATGCCTGACTTACCCTCACAAACCATGCAAACAAGAAGAGAGAGGAGTGAAACACTGAGTGTTAGAAGAGAAAAGAAAATACACTAACCTAGAATTCTGCATCCTGTGAAATTATCCTTCAGAAGGGAAAAGAAATATTTTCTCAGGTAAATAAAAGTTTGAGGGAATTTGTTGCCAATAGAACTGCCTTGCCAGAAATGTTTTTCAAAAGTTCTGCAGAGAGAAAGAAAATGATATAGGTCAGCAACTCTGATCTGCATAAAGAAAGGAAGAGCATGTCAGAAGGAATCCGTAAAGAGAAAACGAAGCCTTTTATTTTTTCTTCATTTATCGAAGAGTGTGCGAAAAGAAAACAACAACAACAAGAGGCCGGCCGCGGAGGCTCACGCCTGCCATCCCAGCACTCCGAGAGGCCGAGACAGGTGGATCACCTGAGGTCAGGAGTTCGAGACCAGCCTGGCCAACACGGTGAAATCCTGTCTCTACTAAAAATACAAAAATTAGCTGGGTGTGATGGTGGATGCCTGTAATTCCAGGTACCTGGGAGGCTGAGGCAGGAGAATTGCTTGAACCCACAGGTGGAGTTGCAGTGAGTCAAGATCACACCACTGTGTTCCAGCCTGGGCAACAGAGTGAAACTCTGTCTCAAAAAATAAAATAATAGGGCCGGGCGCGGTGGCTCAAGCCTGTAATCCCAGCACTTTGGGAGGCCGAGGCGGGTGGATCACAAAGTCAAGAGATCGAGACCATCCTGGTCAACATGGTGAAACCCCGTCTCTACTAAAAATACAAAAATTAGCTGGGCATGGTGGCACGTGCCTGTAATCCCAGCTACTCAGGAGGCTGAGGCAGGAGAATTGCCTGAACCCAGGAGGCGGAGGTTGCGGTGAGCCGAGATCGCGCCATTGCACTCCAGCCTGGGTAACGAGAGCGAAACTCTGTCTCAAAAAAATAAATAAATAAAATAAAATAAAATGAAATAAAATAATAAAATAAAACCCAGAATGTGTATTTGATGATCATGGTTATGTATATGTGAAATGAAAGACAGCAATGGTACAACGGATAGGTGGGTGGAATTAAGAATATCTCATTATTTACTTGGTTTGAGACGGAGTCTCGCTCTGCCACCCAGGCTGGAGTGCAGTGGTGTGATCTTCACTCACGGCAGCTTTGCCTCTCGGGTTCAAGCCATCCTCCTGCCTCAGCTTGCTGAGTAGCTGGGGTTATAGGCACTCACCACCACACCTGGCTAATTTTGTATTTTTAGTAGAGACGGGGTTTCACCATGTTGACCAAGCTGGTCTCAAACTCCTGACCTCAAGTGATCGGCCCGCCGCAGCCTCCCAAAGGGCTGGGATGACAGGCGCGAGCCGCTGCTCCTAGCCGAAGGAGATCTTATTGTTGAAGTGCTTGAGTTCCCTCTGAAGCCGTATGAAATGTGAAAGTCGACTTGGATGAGTTGTAACTGCATATTGCAAACTCTAGGGCAACCACTGAAGAAGCGAGACCCAGCCTCTAGAAAAAAACAAGGAAATGGGCTATCAAGGCATGGAAAGAAATGGAGGAACCTTAAATGCATATTAATTACTAACTGAGATAAGTCACTTGGAAAAGGCTACAAACTGTGTCATTCCAACGACACAACACTTTGAAAAAGGCGAAAGCGTGGAGACCGGAGATGTCAGCGGCTGGGGCAGGCAGGGCAGGAGGGGCGAACCGGCAGAGCGCAGGCTTGCTGGTCCTCTTCCTGAGGCAGTGAAAATCCTCCCAGGCTACTGCAAGGAGGGAGACAAGTCACATGCATTTGTCAAAACCCACAGAATGTTCACCACCAGGAGGGGACCCCGTCTCAGTCCAGGACCCTGGCTGATAACAAAATATCCAGAATCCTCAGATGTGGCCGGCGTGCTCCTGCAGAGGGGGAGGTGCCTGTGCCAGGGCACGGGGTAGGTACAGGGGCATTTTCTGCAGTTTGATCAGTTTTGCAATGAACTAAATGTGTGGTATAAAAATAAAGTCTATTAAAAGAACCCAAGGCCCCTCTCATCTCTCGATAAGATAAAGTCCCCATCCATTTCGCTCCTCGCAGTCCTGGAGAAAGGAGAAGCCACACCCAACACCTTCCGCCCCCATGGACCCCCAGTCTGGACCCCATGCCTTTTCTCAGCATCCTCAGACCAGCAGGACTCGCAGCTATGGGGAAGCGGGCACCTGACTTCTCCTTCATCCACCATTGACTGGGGGCCTCCAGCCTTGACCTTCGCTCTCAGTTTTCCAGGAAGGTCCAGAGCCAGTTCTCCCATGACGTGATCCGTTTCCAGGGCAGGTTCTGGGGCAATATAAAAGGATTGGGGCTGAACGGGGCAGAGGGAGCATTGGAATGGCACTCAGGGCAAAGGCAGAGGTGTGCATGGCAGTGCCCTGGCTGTCCCTGCAAGGGGCACGGGCACTGGGCACCAGAGCCGCTCAGGCCCGCAGGACGGTGCTGCCCTTCGAAGCCATGCCCCAGCGTCCAGGCAACAGGTGGCTGAGGCTGCTGCAGATATGGAGGGAGCAGGGCTATGAGCACCTGCACCTGGAGCTGCACCAGACCTTCCAGGAGCTGGGGCCCATTTTCAGGTAAAGCCCTCCCTGACCCTCACTGGGAACACCCAGATCCCTGCCCCTCCTTCTCAGGACCCTGCCGGCCACACAGCACTGCCATTCCCAGCTGGTCCTGGGGCTCCGCATCTTTGGAGGACAGGGAGGAGCGGCAGCACGTGCTGGTCTGTGGCTCTGCCAGTGCAGGCAATGGTGCGGAGCAAAGCCCAGCTCACTGCAGAGGGCAGGACTCAGAGACACTATAGTAGCGAGGCTTCAGGGAGCCAGCAGGAGGGCTTCAGCTGTGAAGCCGCTAATCCCGGAGCGGGGAGGGTGACAGGAGACTGCTGGATGGGGCTGCAGGGTGGGGCCGGGGAGGACGTGACCCCGTCCAGCAGAGCCTTGTGCTTGGCCCCACAGGTCCGAGTCGGGAGGACCACGCACGGTGTGGGTGATGCTGCCGGAGGATGTGGAGAGGCTGCAGCAGGTGGACAGCCTGCACCCCCGCCGGATGAGCCTGGAGCCCTGGGTGGCCTACAGACAACACCGTGGGCACAAATGCGGCGTGTTCTTGCTGTGAGGGGCGAGCCAGGAGCTGGGGGCTGGGGGCCGGGTGGGCAGCCTGGGAAGGGAGAGAGGCAGGAGCTGAAAGTGCGTCTGCCCTGGGCCGTGTGGCAGGTGGTGAGAGTGAGCACCCAGCTAGGAGGACGGCTGTCCCCTGGGGTCACCTCTGTCCCGCAGCTGGGGAAGCGGGGCAATGGTGGAGAAATGGGCACGGGCGCCTCCGCAGAGGAGGGGACACAGAGCAGCGAGCCCTTCTGTGTAGGGAGAACCTGCCCTGCACCGACCTGGGTGGCTGCTTTCTCTTGCGGCTGGGGACTCTCCTTCCCCCAGTCGGGAAACTGAGGCGCAGAGAAGGGGGCTCCCACTGGCCCAGGTGACAGGCTCTGTGTGTGCTGAGCCTGGTGTCCGCCAGGGCTGCAGCCTCCCCATAGGGCCCCCTTGGCTCCTGCAGTCCTGGCAAACCTTGGTGATGGGGGCAGTTCTGGCCAGCAGGCAGGTGGGGACGCAGGTGGCTGGTGGCTTCGTTGCTCTCAGAAGCCAGGCACAAGGTAGGGCGGTTGATGGCACTGGGGAGATGTTTCCTGGGCCGTGGAGAGGGTGGTGCCTGCTCAGGTGGGCAGGGAGACGCTGGTGGTTGGAGTCGGTCACCTGCAGGGACGTTGCCATCAGGACAGGGGAAGGACTGGACAAGGATGTCACAGCGGCGACAGCCCCCACTCCATGGCAGAAAGGAAATGCTCTTCGGAATAGTGGGGTTTAGGTAAAAGGGCACCCACGGGTGGAGGCCTTCACTGAGGCTGGCCTACAGACCACATCTGGGAGGGAGTCAGGACCCAGGAAGGCAGGTCCAGGAGGCTGGGTGTGCATATGGGAAGGAAGGGGGGCGCTCCTGTGTGTGTGTGTCTTGCATCTGTGCACATGCCTGTGTGTTTCTCGGTGCCTGCATTTGCACATGCATTGTGTGTGCATACCTGTGTGTGTGCATGTGTGATGTGTGGTATGCGTGCACCTGCGTCTCTGTGTGTGCATTGGCAGGTGTTGGCATGGGTGTGGTGTCTGCACACGTGCACATGTGTCTCTTCACCTGTGTGTTGAGGTCTTGTGCAGGCACACGTGTGTACATGGGTCTCTTCACACACGTGTGTTGAGGTCCTACAGGGGCACACAGGTGTACCATGTATCTCTTCACATGTGTACTGAGGTCATGCATGGGCACACACGTGTACACATGTCTCTTCACACGTGTCGAGGTCCTACATGGGCACGCAGGTGTACACGTGTCTCTTCACACGTGTGTTGAGGTCCTGCATGGGCACATGTATACACGTGCGTCTTCTGCCTGTCATCCTTGTCTACACCTGACAGCAGCCTGGACATAAATAAAGGAGTTCTGCAGGAATGTGGCTGAGAGGGGAACTTCCTCCCCACCATTCCCTGGGGGCATCCATGGAGCCCCCACCACGGAGAGGGCCTGCATGGGGTGAGGTGGTGCCCGCCTTGGGGCGTCGGGTCCCAGGAATGACCTCAGTTACCCCCTCAGAACCTGTGGGCAGAAGCTACCGTCTCATCCCCTGTTTAGAACTGAGTGGCCTTTGCCCAGCCCCTGTAGGCCGCTCTCAGAAAAGGCTGGAGCTGGAACAGAAGCAGGCAGCGTCCTCCAGGGCCCCCAGTCCTTCCCCGGACGCCGATTCCATCTGAGGACAAGGGGTCGGGATGCAGGTCGGGGCCCGTGTCTTGCCGGGCGGCATCACAAGCTCTGCCCTGGCCTCTGTAGGAACGGGCCTGAATGGCGCTTCAACCGGTTGCGGCTGAACCCGGATGTGCTGTCACCCAGGGCCGTGCAGAGGTTCCTCCCGATGGTGGATTCGGTGGCCAGGGACTTCTCCCAGGCCCTCAGGAACAAGGTGCTGCAGAACACCCGGGGGAGCCTGACCCTGGACGTCCAGTCCAGCATCTTCCACTACACCATAGAAGGTGTGGCCCAGGCGGGAAGGTCCAGCCTCAGAGACCACGGAGTGGCCAGGGACGGGGACGGGGGGCTGGAGGGAGTGGGGAGGCAGCCAGGAGGCTGGGGGCTGCCTTGGGCTCACAACGCCTCCTCCCCACAGCCAGCAACTTAGCCCTTTTTGGAGAGCGGCTGGGCCTGGTTGGCCACAGCCCCAGCTCTGCCAGCCTGAACTTCCTCCGTGCCCTGGAGGTCATGCTCAAATCCACCGTCCAGCTCATGTTCATGCCCAGGAGCCTGTCTCGCTGGACCAGCCCCAAGGTGTGGAAGGAGCACTTTGAGGCCTGGGACTGCATCTTCCAGTACGGTGAGGCCAGGGACCTGGGCGGTGCTATGGGGCAGCCTCACTGTGGGGCCCAATTTCTCCCTCTGCACTACCCAGGGGGGAACTGAGGCCACAGGGAGGGCCTGGGAATTCCTCACTGTCATGCCAGGGAGATTGGGAATGAGGCTGGGGCTGGGCTGGACTGATCTTGGGAATCCGGCGGTCTCCCCCTCACTGGACAGGCGACAACTGTATCCAGAAAATCTATCAGGAACTGGCCTTCAGCCGCCCTCAGCACTACACGGGCATTGTGGCGGAGCTCCTGTTGAATGCGGAACTGTCACTAGACGCCATCAAGGCCAATTCCATGGAACTCACCGCAGGGAGTGTGGACACGGTCAGGCCGTTCACCAGCCCCACCCCCAGAGGGTGATGCCAAGCGTCCCTCTTGGGCAGTGCCTACCAATGCCACACGGCACCCACATGCCCCATCCCCAGGCTTTGGGACCCGCATTTCTGTTGCCCTCAGCCTTCTCCCTCCATTTGGCAATGGCTGAGATTTGCAGGGGAAGGGAAGTGTGAGCTACCCCTCAGGAGACAGAGTTTGCAGTTACCTGTGTGGGGAACCATGCTCCAGGCCTGGAGGAAGGTGGATGAGGCCCAGGACGCACAGCAGTGCAGTCCCCACTGGAAAGCTCTGGGAGTGCAAGGAGAAGGAGGGTGGAGAGGCAGCTGGAGGCCTGCATAGGGCACCTTTCCCAGGGTGCCTGTCACCTGGGGCCAGAGCAGGGGACCCATGGGAGGGCAGGGTTGTGGAGAAGGTGGCAATACCAGCTCCAGCGCGTGCAGAGGGGCCTGTGGGTGCCCAATGGAGAGAACCCGATGGAAGCAGAGGGAGCTGGAGCTGCAGAACTCCCCAGAGGATGCTGAGGTTCAGCCCCCTGCCCGAATGGTGGCTGTGAGAAACCCTTGAAGAGGCTGTAGGAGATCTGGGCTTTTGTTGAGATAGGGTCAACTTTCTCTGAAGAGGTCAGGGAAACTGGTCCAAGTGGTCATCAGGGTTTCAGATCCGGGGTTCCAGGGCTCTGTCGTGCTCAGGGCATGCATGTCCCCACCTTGCAGAGGGGGCTGTCCTGGGAGGGGTGTCTCGGGGGCTGAGTCCTGTGCAAGGCCTGACCCTGCAGCCATGGCTCCTGCAGACGGTGTTTCCCTTGCTGATGACGCTCTTTGAGCTGGCTCGGAACCCCGACGTGCAGCAGGCCCTGCGCCAGGAGAGCCTGGCCGCCGCGGCCAGCATCAGTGAACATCCCCAGAAGGCAACCACCGAGCTGCCCCTGCTGCGGGCGGCTATCAAGGAGAGCTTGAGGTGGGTGCTGGCTGAGCCCTCCCTGTGGCCCCGGCCCCCTGCTGGAGAGCAGCCCCCACTGGGGGGTGGCAGACAGAAGCTAGGGCTGATAGGCAGTGTCGTCCAGCAGCCCATTCCCCTGCACCTGCTCTTCCTCTCCCTCAAAACAGGGACCTCTTCTTCCTCTGGAATCCCTCTTCAACGCCCTGGGGATTAAGGTGGGGCGTGTCCTTCTGGGCTTGGGGCTTCTCAGATTAGGGGAGGTTTGGCCGGGCTCAGTAGGTGCACAAAGCGCTTCCTTACGACCTGGGCTTCCCATGGGCTGGGGACATTCGGGGGTCTTGGGTAGGAAGGCTGCAGAGGGCACAGGACGCCCCGTCCAGCTGAGGACCCTTTCTATGGATGCCCCCACCTCCAGGCTCTACCCTGTGGGGCCCTTTGTGGAGCGAGTGGTGAGCTCAGACTTGGTGCTGCAGAACTACCACATCCCCGCTGGGGTGAGTGAGCCCCACACCCCTTCAGCTGACAACCTCCCTCCCCGGTCTTTCCCTGAGCCCCGCTCTGCACCGTCCACAGACACTGGTGCAGGTTTTCCTCTACTCGCTGGGTCGCAATGCCGCCTTGTTCCCAAGCCCTGAGCGCTACAACCCCCAGCGCTGGCTAGACATCAGGGGCTCTGGCAGGAACTTCCATCATGTACCCTTCGGTTTTGGCATGCGCCAGTGCCTGGGAAGGCGCCTGGCAGAGACAGAGATGCTGCTGCTGCTGCACCACGTGAGCAGACCCGGGGCGGGGGCGGGGCGGACCTGGGCAGCAGGGGCGGGGCCTGGGCCCCGGGGGTGGGGCTTGCATGGTGTGGTTGGGACCTGGGAACAGTGGATGGGGCCTTAGTTGGTTGAAGTAGGACCTGATCAGGAAGGGTCTGTGCTGAGCAAGGCAGGGCAAGGTCTGAGCGTGGTTGCTTCTAAACAGTGAGGTGGGGACTAGGGGAGTGGGGTGGAGCCTGTACAGGATAATGAGGCTTGGGCGAGACCTGGGCAAGAGGTGGTCTGGGCCTCGGCTGTTAGGTGTGGCTGGTCAGGAATGGGACAGCTTGGGGCACAGGCCTTCAGCATAATCGTTGCACCTGGGAGAGTGGGAGAAGGCTTCCCCAGGTCCATGGGTTGTGGACCAGGCCAGATGGAAACCCGGCTTCTGTCCTAGGTGCTGAAACACTTCCAGGTGGAGACACTAACCCAAGAGGACATAAAGATGGCCTACAGCTTCATACTGAGGCCCAGCACGTACCCTCTCCTCACCTTCAGGGCTCTGCACCCAGGGTCCCAGCCTGGCCACCAGCCTCCCTCTGCCTGACCGAGGCCACCCCGCTTCTCTCCCATGTGCACAACTTTCTGAGCCATCCCTCTGTCAGCCACCCCTAGCACAAACAGAGCACCTGAGGGCCTCCAGGACCGCAGCTTTCCAGGCTTGCCAAACAGCAAGGCCAGGGCACAGCTGGGTCAATCTCACTGGCAGGGCCCGGCCTTGTCCCCAGCCCCACCTGGCCCCTTCTCCAGCAAGCAGTGTCCGCTGAGCAGTTTGCCCCCATCCCTCCCAGAGCTGGCTCCAGGCCATGCAAGCGTGCTGTGACTTTATCCCCCGCCTTCCTGCCTAGTCTCACATGTCCCTGTCGCTCACCCTGTTTGGGGAAGCAGCAAAGGAGAAAGGACTTACAGATGCCTGTATAAATCGGTTTATGAGTAACATAAACAAGGAACAACAAACTGTGGAAGGCCCCAGGAGGCCTTTGAGGAGGAAGGTTTCTCCATACCAAATGCTTTAACACGGTTGACTTATAGGTCAGGTAAACAAAAGCTGCATTCTGATAGAAACCATGCAATTCAGTTATCTGATCTAAGTTTACTAGCAGTCAAAGAGCTGAAATTAAAGTTGTGATATTAGCATTCAAAAGCTTTTTCTGCTCAGCCCATAAATGTAGTAAGTAACTTGGCTTGCTCAGCTTATTCACAAAAAATTCTTTTTTTTTGAGACGGAGTTTCGCTCTTGCTACCCAGGCTGGAGTGCAATGGTGCGATCTCGGCTCACCGCAACCTCTGCCTCCTGGGTTCAGGCAATTCTCCTGCCTCAGCCTCCTGAGTAGCTGGGATAACAGGCACGTGCCACCATGCCCAGCTGATTTTTTGTATTTTTAGTAGAGACGGGGTTTCACCATGTTGACCAGGATGGTCGCGATCTCTCGACCTTGTAATCCACCTGCCTTGGCCTCCCAAAGTGCTGGGATTACAGGCGTGAGCCACCGTGCCCGGCCCACAAAAAAATCTTAAAACAGCTTTATTAAGTCTAATCTCAAGCCCACAGCTCACCGCCTGGGCCGTTAGCTTATGGCAAAAAGCAAGCAGAATTACAAGTGATACCGACACTGCTTAACCCAGACAGACAGAAACAGAAAACTTAGAAAAACTTAAGAAGCAAAAAGTGAGAGAGACAGAAAGAGGTAAGGAAGGCAAAGAGAAAGAGAGGCACAGAAAGTAAGACACAAGAAAGACATAAAGTAGGGGAAAGAAAGAAAGATTTAAAAAGCTATAAGGTTGCACCCTTAGTAAGGAAGGCCATAAAATAAAGTTTAACTTGTCTAAGTTTGTCAGTGAAGGTTGTAAAAATGTTATAAAAGGGAATTTATGCAAGTAGGTTGTATAAATTTTGGTTTGAAAGTCTAAACAAGTTTTAAAACATTAATTGTAAAAAACAATTCTGTGTGTAAACATATTGGTTAAAAGTTAAAAGTATCTAGTTTTCTGTAAACTAGACAGTGAAATAAAACAGCACCTGGAAAGCCCTTTAGACAGCAAGCAAGGAGGAGGGACCCAGAGGGCCCTGGATGCCCCTTCGCAGCAGGAAGTAGTTACAGAAAACGACCTCCACCCTATTTCCCAAAAGAGTTCTGGGTCCCAACTCCTTAAGGAAAAAAAGTAAGAGTGGGTAGTTAGGTTCTGAGGTGCTTGAGGAAGCTGCTGATGGACTGGCAGCCCTAAAACTGGATGAAAACCTGGGAGGATCTGACTGCTGTTGTGATTATGTTACTGATCTGTTCCATGCTCCAAGATGAAGCTGTCCTCGCTGACCTAGCTTTGTGAAACAAAAGCAGCCGGGGGGACGGCATACTCCACTCCTCATACGCAATTACACTTAGCCCTTACAACTTTAAATTTTTTGAACATTTCTAAGGATCAGGTTTGAACAGCAGCCGAGCAGCATTTATCAGGACAAAAAAGGAATCCTCAGGAAGGAAAATTAATCTGGTGGCAAGACTCATTAACAAAAGATCGGGGAAAGACAGTGTAATGACGTGTGGCATGGAGAGGCCTTCCTCCTGAGAGGCCTCCTGCGGCCTTCTGCAGTTTGTTGTTCCTTGTTTATAAGTTACTCATAACCGGTTTATGTGGGCATCTGTAAGTTCTTCCTCCTTTGCTGCTTCCCCCAACACGCCCCCTGGCCGGAGCCTCCATGCAGACTGTGTCGGAGTCAGTAAGCGGGATCCCAGCATCTCAGAGTCGAGTTCCCTCCTGCAGCCTGCCTCAGCTCGAGCATGCCCTGAGCGCTCTGAAAGCTGTCACCTTGGAATAGGGTGCCGCAGGGTAGAGTAAAAAGGCCCCTGTGGCCCCTTGTCCTGACACATCCCCATTTTCAAGTGATACAACTGAGTCTGGAGGGACCTGTGTCCCTACAGCTGATCACGTCAGCTTCGTGCCCCAGCTCTTGTCTTCCATGGACCAGGCCTTGTTCCAGCAGTGGGCGTTGGGTCCTCTGCTTCCTGTGCTGTCCCCTGGGGAAGCTCCCGAGGGTGCTGTGAAGAGATGGAAGAGTCATGTAAGGGTGGGAAGCTTGGGTGTAGTTCCAGAAATGTTTCTGCCAACAGGAGAGACAGGATTGGGCCAACAGGACTCAGATGCCTTTTATTCACTCGTTCCTGGCTGATACAGAGCTATGCCATGTGCCACGACCTGGGGTGGGCACAGGGAGGCTGCGTTTCCCAACGCGAACCTGCCTGTGGGCCTCGTGTGCTCCTAGCCCAGCAGAGAGAGTTGACCCCTCCTGAACTGGCCACTGCACAGTGCTCCCGTGCAGGGAGAGGAAGTGCCCAGGGTGAGAGTGCGTCAGCCAGACTGTCCTTATCCCCAGGGATTTTCATCAGGGCAAAGGTCACAGCCACCAGCTCCTGGTGGCTGATGAGGATCTGAGCTTTTGTTTCCCCATGAAAGGGGAAATCCCTAGGCCATCATTACAGGTGTGGTCAGTAGTTCCAGGACACCCTCAAAGACTCAGGCCAGTCACCCTGTGATTGAAGGTTGCTTCCCCACCCTGGGCAGCACAGTGCAGCACCAGAGAAGAATATGGGGGGAACAAGTCGCATGGTCCCCAGGGTTGGGTCCTTGCCTGTGGGGCTCTCGCAGATTCCCCTCCAGCTCTCCCGGCCAGACTAGGTCATGGAATCCTAAAATAAACCTTGCAAAAACATTTTCAAGCTTTTTATCTCAAAATTACTCATTTTTGGAGGAGAGGCTTGGTGGAAGGTGATTGGATCATGAAAGTCTTTCTAATGGTTTAGCACCATTCCCCTAGTCCTGTCTCGTGATAGAGTTATCAGGAGATCTGGTTGTTTGAAAGTGTAGCCCCTCCCTCTTCACTCTCTGTGTCTCTCCCTCCCTCCTGCTCTGCCATGGTAAGATGTGCTTGCTTCCCCTTCACTTTCCACCACGACTGTAAGTTTCCTGAGGCCTCCAGCCAAGCTTCCTGTGCAGCCTACAGAACTCTGAGTCAATTAAACTTCTTTTCTTCATAAATTACCCAGTCTCAGGTAGTTCTTTGCAGCAATGTGACAGTGGACTACTACAAACTGGATTGCTTGTAACAGAAAGCATCAGTGCTTGAGGAGATGGATACCTCACTCTATGATGTGATTATTACACATTGCATGACTATACCAAAACATCTTATAAATCCTATGATATGGTTTGGCTCTGTGTCCCCACCCAAATATCACCTTGAATTGTAATCCCCATAATCCCTACGTGTCAAGGGCAGCACTAGGTAAAGGTAATTGAATCACGGGGCCAGTTTCCCCCACGCTGTTCTCATGATAATGAGTGAGTCTCATGAGATCTGATGGTTTTATAAGAGTCTGGTATTTCCCCTGCTTGCACTCATTCTCTCTCTGCCACCCTGTGAAAAGGTGCCTTCCACCACAATTGTATTCTTTATAAATTACCCAGTCTCAGGAATTTCTTCATAGCAGCATGAGAATGGACTAATATGCACAATAAATATATACACCTACTATGTATTCACAAAAGTTAATAAAGAATAATTTAATGAAAATAAAAATAAAAAAATTGAAGAGGACACCAAAAATGTAAAGAAAACCAGTATTTGTCCACTGGAAGAATTAATATTGCTAAAAATGTCCATATACCCCAAATTATCTGTAGATTTAATACAATTCCAATTAAAATTCCAATGACATTTTTCAAAGAAATAGAAAAAAAAACCCGAAAATTCTGATAGAATCACAAAAAATCCTGAATTAACCAAATCGATTTTGAGCAACAATGAACAAAGCTGAGGGGCATCACACTACTTGACTTTGAAATACACTACAAAGTTATTGTAACCAACACAGATTAGTTTTGGCATAAAAGCAGACACATAGATTAATGGAAAAGAATGCAGAGCCCAGAAATTAATCCATGCATTTAAGGTCAATTGATTTTTGACAAAGATGCCAAGAATATACATTGGGGAAAGAACAATCTGTTCAACACACGGTGTTGAGAAAACTGGATGTCCTTAGGCAAATATTAAAATCAGGCTCTTGCTGCACTAGGCTATTCTTGCATTGCGATAAAGAAATATCTGAGACTGGGAATTTCTGGGTAATTTACATAGAAAAGAGGTTTAATTGGCTCACAGTCCTGCACGCGGTAGAGGAAGCATAGCACTGGCATCTTACTGGCTTCTGGTGAGGCCCGAGGAAGCTTACAATCATAAAGGAAGGCAAAGGGGGAGCTGGTGTACCACATGATGAGAATGGGCATGGTTTGGCTGGTGGGGGGAGAAGTGTCATGCTCTTTGGAACTCAGCCTTTCATGAGGGATCTTCCCCATGATCCAATACCTGCCACCAGGTCCCACCTTCAACACTGGAGGTCACATTCCCACATGAGATTTGGAGGGGACTCACATCCAAACCATGTTTAGAATTTTCAAGATATCACTTATTTTCCATCATATAGAAAAATTAACTCAAAATGAATTTAAGACTAAAATGTAAAGCCTGAAACTGTAAAAATCCTGGAAGAAAACATGGAAGACAGGATCCATGACACTAGCCTTAGCAATTTTTTTTTTATATTAACACAAAACCGCAGGTGACAAAAGCAAAGATAGACAAATAGAATACATCAAACAAACAAAAAAAATCTGCACAACCAGGAAAGCAATCCACAGAGTGAAGAGAAATGGGGCCTAAATATCTGCAAATTGTCTATCTGATAAGCATTTAATATCTAAAATATATAAGGCACTCAAACAACTCAATAGCAAGAAAACCAGTAACTGGATTAAAAAATGGACAAAGGACACAAATATCGATTTCTCAAAAGAAGACGTATGAATGGCTGCCAGACATGTGAAAAGGTGCTCAACATCAGTAATCATCAGAGAAATGGAAATTAAAACCACCACGAAATACCACCCGGCACTGGTTAGAGTGCCTGCTATAAAAATGAGGGGAGGTGACATGTGCTGGTGAAGATGCAGACAAAGGGACTCTAGAGTCCCGTTGATGGGAATGTCAATCGTCACAGCCATTACGGACACTGGAATGGAAGTTTCTTAAAAATTAAACATAAAATTACCATATGACCCACCCATATCATGGTGCGTGTATACAGATCAAGGAAATGAAATCAGTATGCTGAAGAGATTCCTGCACCCCGTGTTTATTGCAGCACTATTCACAAAAGCCAAGATATGAAGTCAACCTAAGTGTCCATCAACAGATGAATAAAGAAAATGTGGAATATGGACACAAAGGCTTAAATTCAGCCTTAAAAAAGAAGGAAATCTATTATTTGTGACAACACGAATGAACCTGGGAAAACTGTTATGTGAAATAAGCCAGGCCACACACACACACACACACACACACACACACACAAAAGCCACCAACACACAATCTCACTTCTCTGTGGAATCAAAAAAGGTGAAACCTGTAGAAGCAGAGCATGGAATGGTGTTACCAGGGGTTGAGGGCAGGGAGGCAGAGGCGGATGGAGGGGTGCTGTTGGGAGACATTGGTCAGCAGGTAGAAAAATACAACGTTTCGGTTAGCCAGGGGGAAAAGGTCAGGAGATTGATGATGAAACGTCGGAGCCACGGTTAATAACCACGTACTTGAAAATCTCTAAGACAGGAGACGATGCATCGTAAACACAAACAATTCGTATCTTAGCTAATAAATACATGCTTTAGCTTGATCAGTACAGAAATTATATTTCAGACTTTATACACATCTTTCAAAACATCCTGTTGTGCAAGACAGATAAATGCAATTTTAAATGTCAACAAGAAATTAATTAAATAACAATTGTAAGAAGTAAAAAAAAAATACATGTGGTTTAATGCAATGATGCCAACTCATTCCCTCATTTTTTGCTATGAACCTTGCAAGGAGATGAATAATCCAAGGCTCTTGGATAAGATAAGGGCCCATCCATCTTGCTCCTCTCAGCCCTAGAGGAGGAGGGAGAATGCTTTTACCCCCACCTGCCCCCATGCACCCACGATCAGTCCCCGCCTCCAGCCCTGACCTCTACCCAGGGTTTCCAGGAAGGTCCAGGGCCAGTTCTCCCGTGACGTGATCTGTTTCCAGGGCAGGTTCCCGGGTGAGATAAAAAGATTGGGGCTGAACAGGGTGGAGGGAGCATTGGAATGGCACTCAGGGCAAAGGCAGAGGTGTGCACGGCAGTGCCCTGGCTGTCCCTGCAAGGGGCACGGGCACTGGGCACCAGAGCCGCTCAGGCCCCTAGGACGGTGCTGCCCTTGGAAGCCATGCCCCAACTTCCAGGCAACAGGTGGCTGAGGCTGCTGCAGATATGGAGGGAGCAGGGCTATGAGCACCTGCACCTGGAGCTGCACCAGACCTTCCAGGAGCTGGGGCCCATTTTCAGGTAAAGCCCTCCCTGACCCTCGCTGGGAACACCCAGATCCCTGCCCCTCCTTCTCAGGACCCTGCCGGCCACACAGCACTGCCATTCCCAGCTGGTCCTGGGGCTCCGCATCTTTGGAGGACAGGGAGGAGCGGCAGCACGTGCTGGTCTGTGGCTCTGCCAGTGCAGGCAATGGTGCGGAGCAAAGCCCAGCTCACTGCAGAGGGCAGGACTCAGAGACACTATAGTAGCGAGGCTTCAGGGAGCCAGCAGGAGGGCTTCAGCTGTGAAGCCGCTAATCCCGGAGCGGGGAGGGTGACAGGAGACTGCTGGATGGGGCTGCAGGGTGGGGCCGGGGAGGACGTGACCCCGTCCAGCAGAGCCTTGTGCTTGGCCCCACAGGTCCGAGTCGGGAGGACCACGCACGGTGTGGGTGATGCTGCCGGAGGATGTGGAGAGGCTGCAGCAGGTGGACAGCCTGCACCCCCGCCGGATGAGCCTGGAGCCCTGGGTGGCCTACAGACAACACCGTGGGCACAAATGTGGCGTGTTCTTGCTGTGAGGGGCGAGCCAGGAGCTGGGGGCTGGGGGCCGGGTGGGCAGCCTGGGAAGGGAGAGAGGCAGGAGCTGAAAGTGCGTCCGCCCTGGGCCCTGTGGCAGGTGGTGAGAGTGAGCACCCAGCTCGGAGGACGGCCGTCCCCTGGGGTCACCTCTGTCCCGCAGCTGGGGAAGCGGGGCAATGGTGGAGAAAAGGGCACGGGCGCCTCCGCAGAGGAGGGGACACAGAGCAGCGAGCCCTTCTGTGTAGGGAGAACCTGCCCTGCACCGACCTGGGCGGCTGCTTTCTCTTGCGGCTGGGGACTCTCCTTCCCCCAGTCGGGAAACTGAGGTGCAGAGAAGGGGGCTCCCACTGGCCCAGGTGACAGGCTCTGTGTGTGCTGAGCCTGGTGTCCGCCAGGGCTGCAGCCTCCCCATAGGGCCCCCTTGGCTCCTGCAGTCCTGGCAAACCTTGGTGATGGGGGCAGTTCTGGCCAGCAGGCAGGTGGGGACGCAGGTGGCTGGTGGCTTCGTTGCTCTCAGAAGCCAGGCACAAGGTAGGGCGGTTGATGGCACTGGGGAGATGTGTCCTGGGCCGTGGAGAGGGTGGTGCCTGCTCAGGTGGGCAGGGAGACGCTGGTGGTTGGAGTCGGTCACCTGCAGGGACGTTGCCATCAGGACAGGGGAAGGACTGGACAAGGATGTCACAGCGGCGACAGCCCCCACTCCATGGCAGAAAGGAAATGCTCTTCGGAATAGTGGGGTTTAGGTAAAAGGGCACCCACGGGTGGAGGCCTTCACTGAGGCTGGCCTACAGACCACATCTGGGAGGGAGTCAGGACTCAGGAAGGCAGGTCCAGGAGGCTGGGTGTGCATATGGGAAGGAAGAGGAGCACCCCCGTGTGTGTGCGTGTCTTGCATCTGTGCACATGCCTGTGTGTTTCTCGGTACCTGCATTTGCACATGCATTGTGTGTGCATGCCTGTGTGCACGTGACTGCGTGTGTGCATGTGTGATGTGTGGTGTGCGTGCACCTGCGTCTGTGTGTGTGAACTGGCAGGTGCTGGCATGGGTGTAGTGTCTGCACACGTGCACATGTGTCTCTTCACATGTGTGTTGAGGTCCTGCATGGGCACACATGTGTACACATGTCTCACATGTCTCTTCACACCTGTGTCGAGGTCCTACATGGGCACGCAGGTGTACACGTGTCTCTTCACACGTGTGTTGAGGTCCTGCATGGGCACATGTATACACGTGCGTCTTCTGCCTGTCATCCTTGTCTACACCTGACAGCAGCCTGGACATAAATAAAGGAGTTCTGCAGGAATGTGGCTGAGAGGGGAACTTCCTCCCCACCATTCCCTGGGGGCATCCATGGAGCCCCCACCACGGAGAGGGCCTGCATGGGGTGAGGTGGTGCCCGCCTTGGGGCGTCGGGTCCCAGGAATGACCTCAGTTACCCCCTCAGAACCTGTGGGCAGAAGCTACCGTCTCATCCCCTGTTTAGAACTGAGTGGCCTTTGCCCAGCCCCTGTAGGCCGCTCTCAGAAAAGGCTGGAGCTGGAACAGAAGCAGGCAGCGTCCTCCAGGGCCCCCAGTCCTTCCCCGGACGCCGATTCCATCTGAGGACAAGGGGTCGGGATGCGGGTCGGGACCCGTGTCTTGCCGGGCGGCATCACAAGCTCTGCCCTGGCCTCTGTAGGAACGGGCCTGAATGGCGCTTCAACCGGTTGCGGCTGAACCCGGATGTGCTGTCACCCAGGGCCGTGCAGAGGTTCCTCCCGATGGTGGATTCGGTGGCCAGGGACTTCTCCCAGGCCCTCAGGAACAAGGTGCTGCAGAACACCCGGGGGAGCCTGACCCTGGACGTCCAGTCCAGCATCTTCCACTACACCATAGAAGGTGTGGCCCAGGCGGGAAGGTCCAGCCTCAGAGACCACGGAGTGGCCAGGGACGGGGACGGGGGGCTGGAGGGAGTGGGGAGGCAGCCAGGAGGCTGGGGGCTGCCTTGGGCTCACAACGCCTCCTCCCCACAGCCAGCAACTTAGCCCTTTTTGGAGAGCGGCTGGGCCTGGTTGGCCACAGCCCCAGCTCTGCCAGCCTGAACTTCCTCCGTGCCCTGGAGGTCATGCTCAAATCCACCGTCCAGCTCATGTTCATGCCCAGGAGCCTGTCTCGCTGGACCAGCCCCAAGGTGTGGAAGGAGCACTTTGAGGCCTGGGACTGCATCTTCCAGTACGGTGAGGCCAGGGACCTGGGCGGTGCTATGGGGCAGCCTCACTGTGGGGCCCAATTTCTCCCTCTGCACTACCCAGGGGGGAACTGAGGCCACAGGGAGGGCCTGGGAATTCCTCACTGTCATGCCAGGGAGATTGGGAATGAGGCTGGGGCTGGGCTGGACTGATCCGGAGAATTTGGGATGAGGGCAGGGGGAGGGTATTGGGGAGGGTGGGCAAGAGGAGGACCCTGAAGGATGCTTCCCAGCACCAAGGCCTGAGGGTAGTCTCCCCCTCACTGGACAGGTGATAACTGTATCCAGAAAATCTATCAGGAACTGGCCCTCAGCCGCCCTCAACGCTACACGGGCATCGTGGCGAAGCTCCTGTTGAATGCAGAACTGTCGCCAGATGCCATCAAGGCCAACTCCATGGAACTCACCGCGGGGAGTGTGGACACGGTCAGGCCGGCAATCAGCCCCACCCACAGAGGGTGATGCCCAGCTTGTGTCTTGGGCAGTGCTCTGCAATGCCGCACGGCACCCACATGTCCCATCCCCAAGCTACAGGCCCCACATTTCTTGAGATTGCAATGTGATGAACACATTTGCAGGTTGCCTTGGTTGGAATGGGGGTTGCCTTTCTCTGGGGACTAAAGGAAAGGGGTTTGGATGGGTATTAGGATTTGAAGTCTTGGGTTCCAGGGCTCTGTCATGCTCAGGGAATGCATGTCCCCACCCCGCCAAGGGGGCTGTCATGGGAGGGGTGTCTCGGGGGCTGAGTCCTGTGCAAGGCCTGACCCTGCAGCCATGGCTCTTGCAGACTGTGTTTCCCTTGCTGATGACACTCTTTGAGCTGGCTCGGAACCCTGACGTGCAGCAGGCCCTGCGCCAGGAGAGCCTGGCCGCCGCGGCCAGCATCAGTGAACATCCCCAGAAGGCAACTACCGAGCTGCCCCTGCTGCGGGCGGCTATCAAGGAGAGCTTGAGGTGGGTGCTGGCTGAGCCCTCCCTGTGGCCCCGGTCCCCTGCTGGAGAGCAGCCCCCACTGGGGGGTGGCAGACAGAAGCTGGGGCTGATAGGCAGTGTCGCCCAGCAGCCCATTCCCCTGCACCTGCTCTTCCTCTCCCTCAAAACAGGGACCTCTTCTTCCTCTGGAATCCCTCTTCAACGCCCTGGGGATTAAGGTGGGGCGTGTCCGTCTGGGCTTGGGGCTGCTCAGATTAGGGGAGGTTTGGTTGGGCTCAGTAGGTGCACGAAGCTCTTCCTCACGACCTGGGCTTCCCATGGGCTGGGGACATTCGGGGGTCTTGGGTAGGAAGGCTGCAGAGGGCACAGGACGCCCCGTCCAGCTGAGGACCCTTTCTATGGATGCCCCCACCTCCAGGCTCTATCCTGTGGGGCCCTTTTTGGAGCGAGTGGTGAGCTCAGACTTGGTGCTGCAGAACTACCACATCCCCGCTGGGGTGAGTGAGCCCCACACCCCTTCAGCTGACAACCTCCCTCCCCGATCTTTCCCTGATCCCCGCTCTGCACCGTCCACAGACACTGGTGCGTGTGTCCCTCTACTCTCTGGGTCACAACCCCGCCTTGTTCCCGAGACCTGAGCGCTATAGGCCCCAGCGCTGGCTAGACATCAAGGGCTCTGGCAGGAACTTCCAGTACATGCCCTTTGGCTTTGGCATGCGCCAGTGCCTGGGAAGGCGCCTGGCAGAGACGGAGATGCTGCTGCTGCTGCACCACGTGAGCAGACCGGGGGTGGGGGGCCCTGGGTGGGGTCCGTGCATCATTGGCGGGATTTGGGTGATGTGGGATGGGCCTGGGCAGAGTGGACGTGGCCTGTGTGTCCTGGAGTGGGCAGGGCGGGTACTGGGAGGACCTGGGCTAGACTCAGGCTGTGTAGGTCCTGGGCAGGAGTTGGTATGGTGAGGAGGGTAGATCTGGGCGACGTTGCTGCTAAACAGGCTCAGGCTGGGACTGGGGGAGGCAGGTGGAACCTGTACAGGGTAGTGGGGCTTGGACGAGGCCTGGGCTGTAAGGTGGGGCTGGTCAGGAATGGGGCAGGTTGGGGCCCAGCCTGCTGCCCTCCTGCAGCATAATCACTGCAACCTTGAGGGTCTGAGGAGGCTGCCTCATGTCCGTGGGCTGCTGACCAGGCCAGATGGAAACCCGGCTTCTGTCCTAGGTGCTGAAACACCTCCAGGTGGAGACAGTAACCCAAGAGGATATAAAGATGGTCTACAGCTTCATACTGAGGCCCAGCACGTACCCCCTCCTCACCTTCAGGGCTCTGCACCCAGGGTCCCAGCCTGGCCACCAGCCTCCCTCTGCCTGACCGAGGCCACCCCGCTTCTCTCCCATGTGCACAACTTTCTGAGCCACCCCTCTGTCCAGGCAGCCTCAGCACAAATGGAATTCCTGAGGGCCTCCAGGACCTGGGCTTGCCAGGCTAAGCAGTAAGGCCAGGGCACAGGTGGGAAGACCTTGCTGGCAGGGCCTTGTTCCCAGCCCCACCTGGCCCCTTCTCCATCAAGCAGCGTCCTCTGGGAGGTTTGGCCCCACCCCTCCAGGCGCTGGTTCCAGGGTCCTTGTGTGGCCATGCAAGGGTGCTGTGATTTTATCCCTTGCCTTCCTGCCTAGTCTCACATATACCTGTCCCTCTCCTCCTGGCCGGAGCCTCCATGCAGACTGTGTCGGAGTCAGTAAGCGGGATCCCAGCATCTCAGAGTCGAGTTCCCTCCTGCAGCCTGCCTCAGCTCGAGCATGCCCTGAGCGCTCTGAAAGCTGTCACCTTGGAATAGGGTGCTGCAGGTTAGAGTAAAAAGGCCCCTGTGGCCCCTTGTCCTGACACATCCCCATTTTCAAGTGATACAACTGAGTCTGGAGGGACCTATGTCCCTACAGCTGATCACGTCAGCTTCGTGCCCCAGGCCTCGTCTTCCATGGACCAGGCCTTGTTCCAGCAGTGGGCGTTGGGTCCTCTGCTTCCTGTGCTGTCCCCTGGGGAAGCTCCCGAGGGTGCTGTGAGGAGATGGAAGAGTCATGTAGGGTGGGAAGCTTGGGTGTGGTTCCAGAAATGTTTCTGCCAACAGGAGAGACAGGATTGGGCCAACAGGACTCAGATGCCTTTTATTCACTCGTTCCTGGCTGATACGGAGCTATGCCATGTGCCACGACCTGGGGTGGGCACAGGGAGGCTGCGTTTCCCAACGCGAACCTGCCTGTGGGCCTCGTGTGCTCCTAGCCCAGCAGAGAGAGTTGACCCCTCCTGAACTGGCCACTGCACAGTGCTCCCGTGCAGGGAGAGGAAGTGCCCAGGGTGAGAGTGCGTCAGCCAGACTGTCCTTATCCCCAAGGATTTTCATCAGGGCAAAGGTCACAGCCACCAGCTCCTGGTGGCTGATGAGGATCTGAGCTTTTGTTTCCCCATCATTCCAGGTGTGGTCAGTAGTTCCAGGATGCCCTGGAGGGCTCAGCAGTACGGGGAGAGGAAGTGCCCAGGTTGGGAGGACACCTAGCTAGAGTTCTTGGTGTTAATCCACTCAGGCTGCTCTAAGAAAATGCCACAGCCTGGGTTGTTGACAAACACTAGAAATCTATTTCTCATGGTTCTGAAGGCTGAGAAGGCTAAGATGAAGGTGCCAGCAGGTTCTGTGTCTGGCAAGGACCCATCTCTTGGTTCATAGCTAAAACCTTGCTGTTTCCTCACACGGTGGCAGAGGGCAAGACAAGCTCCCTGGGGCCTCTGATAAAAGGACGTCAATCCCATTCATGAGGGCACTGCCTCCTTCCCTCCCCTCCTCTGTGGACTTGCCCTGCCATTACTTACCTTGTGACTAGATTTCAGCCTAAGAATTCTGGAGGGCAGACACAGAAATTCAGATTAAACTATTTTGCTTCTGGTTCCCTAAACTCGACATCCTTCTCATATACAAAATACATGCACTTCTCCTCAGTAGCCCCAAATGTCTTAGCTTATTTTAGCATCAACTTTATAATTGTAGTCCCAAGTATAATTTAAATGTTATCTGAGTCAAATATGGATAAAATTCAGGGTACAATTACCCTGAGTCAAACTGCTCTTGCTATAAACCTATGAAATCAAACATGTTACGTGCTTCCAAAATACAGCAGTTGGAGAGGCGTAGGGTAAGCATTCCCATTCCAGAAAGGAGAAACAGGAAAGAAGAAAGGAGTAACAAGTTTCAGGCAGTTCCAAAATGTAATGTGACAAAAAACGTTAAACCTGAAGCCTCAAGAATAATCTCCTTCGACTGGGTGTTCCATCTTCTGAATATCATGGCACAGGGGCTACTTCCCCCAGGGCTCCAGGATGCTCTGTCCCTGCAGCTTTGCTGGGTGCAGCCCGCAGTGCAGCTCTCATGAGTTGGGAGTTGCATTCCTGCAGGTCTCCCATACTGGAATCATTCACTGGTAACCCCACCCGACCGGGATCTTGGGCTGCCCTACCCCGCTGGCTCCACTAGCCATGGCTCTCCAGCAGCCCTCTGCCTCAGTCTTGTGCCTCAAGTTCTGGGCCACTCCCATCCTTTGAGATCTAGGTGGAGGCTTCCACACCCCACAGCTCATGCAACCTGCACTCTAGCAGACAGGACCCCATGTTGACACCACCAAGGTTTACTCCCTGTACCCTCTAGAGGAGCACCCACTATGACATATGGCACACCTAAGCTCACTGAAGCCTACTTGGGGTGGTCAGTGAGCAGGAATGCAGAATGTGGGGAGCAGAGCCTTGAAGTAGGACAAGGAAGTGAGTGCCAAGGTCTTACAGAAAAATTCAGGCCATCCTTTAACAACAGTCTATCCCCAGCCTCTTGCACTGTGGCTGAGTGCTGAGAGTGGCAGCCCCAGCTATTTCTAAAATGCCTCCAGGGTCATTCTGCCATTGTCTGGATGAACGACACCTGGCTGACCCATGCTAATCTTACCAAATGGTCACTCGGCCACATTCTTGGTGTTCTCTCCAGAACATGCTTTCTCATATTTTGCAACATGGACTGGCAATTTCCCAAATCGTCCAGTTCTGCTTCTCTTTTGATTAAAAAAATCTATCTTCAAATGATTTCTCTCTTGTTCTATTTTACTACAAGCATTCAAGAGTACCAAGTTGCACCTTAAACACTTTTTTTCCAGCAAATATCTTATTTAAGTACTCACCAGTTCTATTTCACATCAAACACCAGGACAGAAAGTCAATTCCGCCAAGTCCTTTGTCACTTTACAACAAGGACTGCCTTTCCTCCAGTTTCCAATAACATGGTCCTTATTTCTGATTTCTGTTTGCGACCCATAAGAATGGCTTGTATCATCTATATTTCTAGTAACATTCTGTCCATGACCACGTAGATATTCTCTGAGGAGGTGGAGGCTTTCTCTACAGCGCTCCTCCTCCTGTTCTGAGCCCTTACTGAAATCATCCTTCAGGGTCTGCTCACGGTGACACAGGCTTTCTCTAGCATGCACTTCAAAACCCTTCTAGCCTCTGCCCAATTACCTAGCAGCACCCCCATTTTTTGGTACCAATCTCTGTCTTCATTTATTCAAGCTGCTATAATCAAGTACCACAGACTGGGTGACTCAGAAACAGCAGAGATTTGTGGCTCACAGATTGTAGCCTGAGAAGTCTGGGATGAAGGTGCTGGCAGATTTCGAGTCTGGTGAGGATCTATTGACATGAGTTTCATAGACAGGACATTCTTACTGTGTCCTCACATGATGGACAGAAATGAAGAAGCTCTCTGGGGACTATTTTATATGAGTGCTTTCACTTTCAATAGCATTTTGCAACTTTTCTAGCACATATCCTGAAAAATTTCCTGTATATGTATCCAGCAGTGGAATTTCTAAAAAAGAAAAAAAAGGACTGGCAATAGGGTTTGGAGGAGCCAGGACCCAGACATCCAGGATAGCAGGCAGGGTCTCTTTTGAAAAAGAGCCCAGTCTGGCCCTGCTCACAGGAGCCGGCGTCGCAGCCCGCTCACTGGTGGAGAGGGACTGCTGGGCTCTCCTCTTCCGAGTTGTCCTTGGAAATGCCCACTCCTGGGTGGAAGGGAATTCCCCAGCTCCAGCCTTCCCACTCCTAGGTGAAGGTGTGCCACTGTTGTGTGCAGAGGAGCACAGCCTGAGGCAGCACGGGGCAAGGCGTCCCTGGGGATGTCAGAAACTCTGCTTTGCCCGAAGAACCTGCCGTCGCCTCCTTGAGGGAGCTGCCTTGCAAGACACTGCTGATTTGTCTCAGAACTGATTCCACCCTTGTCTTTCCTTCTAGACCTAAAGCTACACTTAAGTACCAGCAGGCCCCAAAAGACGAGGTAAAAGTGGGAACCACGAGGAGCTGTGCTGCACCCTAAAACCACCATGTGGCATTTCCAGCGCGTGCAGATGCATCAGGGGAACACAGTGGAAATGAGTACTCAGTGAGGAGGGTCACGGTCGAAGAGAGGTTAGATTTGGGCTGAATTTATTGATATGGGCCCTCTAAGCAGAGATTCTGGACAGCTTGAGAGTTAGAAATGGGCTCTAATAGTTTGATTGGTTGGCTGAAATATGAATAAAAGATGGCCCACGTGAAATGAATGCCGGGACAATCTTGGTTCACCATCAAGAAACATATCCCAAGACTGAAGGAGATCCAAAACGATAAAGCAGATGTGTCATGCAGGATCTGCACCAATTCATGGTGGCCATCCTTCCCGGAGGCCCAAGGACACATCTTTCATCGTGACTGTCAGAAATAAGTGTGTGAAGGGAGTTTTTCATCCTGGAAGAGCTCTGTGGGCACTCTTCTCTGTAGGTTAGACATCATAGTGGGGCCTGCTGTCACTTAACTGGGATCCTTAAAAGCAGTGGAAATAAATGTGGTGGGAGGGGCATGGCAGGGCCACGTGGCAATCCTTACTAACCAGGTAAGCTGGTATGGCTGCAGTAGTGAGCAATCAGGAGAGTCTGCCTGGCAGAGGCCCAGGGCACTGGCTAGTTGATCATGGTGTTCCTAGATGCCAAATAAATAGATGTGGAGTCCACTCAATCCTTATCTGCTATGTATAAGCAGAGGAGTTCCAGGTCAAGCGGACAGAAGTTGAACCCGAATCATGAAAGCAGAGTCCTGGACCCTGGAGCAGTTCCCACTCTGAGCCAGAACCGCTTGAATGAAAGGTAGGTCAGTTTCTCTGGAGGAAAGACCCCACTACACTGCCAACAATCTATACAGTCAGTCTTTCTCACATCCTCCCCCAGAGAGGCTCACATCCTTCGACCAGGGGGGCTTTGCACTGGGGAAAAGGACATCATCGGACTTCTCAGGAATTTCTAAACACAGGCTCTGAATTGACACTAATTTCAGGAGACCCCAAATGTAAGGGATTGTAGAACTGATGACTAAACCCACCCAGCGCTTATTTCCCTCAGTTCCAGAACATGCTTGGAATAGACATATCAGGTCCTGACAAAATCCCACAAGGGTCTCGATCTGTGAAGCAAGGGCTATTATGGTAGGAAAAGCCAAATGGAAGCCACTAGAATTGCTTCTGCCCAGGAAAACGGTAAATAAAAAGCAATATTGCATTTGCAGAAAAAATGACAAATGTTGGTGTCACTATCAAGGACTCAAAGAGTGGAGGGACAGTGACTCCCACCCTATTCACATTCAGCTGGGTTGTTTGGGCTGTGCAGAAGACAGATGGATCTTACAGAATGACGGTAAAGTACTGTAAACTCAGCCAGTGGGGACTTCAGGTGCAATTTCTGTACCTGAAATCATTTCATTATTGTAGCAAATTAGTATGTCTCCTGGTACCTGGTTGCTATGATTTCAATGTCCCTTCCAGAACTCATGTTGAAACATAGCCCAGAAGTGGCAGTGTTGACAGGTGGTGCCTTTGGGAGGTGATGAGACTATGAAGGGTTTTGCCCCCATTAATATTATTAACCCATTCCTGACTGTCATGCAAGGGAAACTGGTGACTTTATAAGAAGACAAAGAGAGACCTGAGCTTACACATGCAAGCACACTTAGCCCCTCACCGTGTGATGCCCTGTGCCACTCTGGGACCCTTCAGAGAATCTCCACCAGCAATAAGACTCTCACCAGATTCACCTCGAGCTGACACCTCTCAGTCTCCAGAACTGTGAAAATAAATTTTTTTTTATTTACAAACTATCCCACTTCAGATATTCTATTATAAACAACAGAAAATAGACTAAGACGCTAGTATGAAGGTATTGCCTGACAAATGCTTTCTTTTCTAAATTTCTGTTAGTAATGACAACCAAAAGGAATTTGCTTTCAGCTAGTAATACCAGAAATACACCTTTTCTGTCCTAATGGCTATGATAATTGTATATGTTAGCTTGAGCAGAATACAGTATCCAGTAACTCATTCAAACATGATTGATGAGTATATTAGTCTGTTCATACCTTCCTATAAAAAATACCTGAGGCTGCGTAATTTATTATTTTTTTTAAAGTGGTTCATTTGCCTCATGGTTCTGCAAGCTGTACAGAAAGCACAGAAGCTTCTGCTCAGCTTCCAGAGGGGCCTTGGGAAACTTACAGTTGTGACGGAAGGTGAAGAGGAAGCAGGCGTGCCTCACACAGCTGGAGCAGGAGTAAGAGAGCGGGCAGAGGCGCTACCCACTTTTAACAAGCAGGTGTCATGAGAACTCACTCACTGTATGGTCCCAATGGGGGACGGTGCTAAACCATTCATGAGAACTCCACCCGCCAGGCCCCACCTTCACTACTGAGGATTACAACTGAACACGAGATTTGGATGGGAAAACAGAGCCAAACCGTATCAATATGTGTTGAGAAGGTATTCTGTAGATGTGGTTAACATCAATAGTAAATTGACTTTAAGTAAGGAAGACTATGATCACTCTAAAAAATGTGGTGGATTTTATCCAATCAGTTAAAAGGGCTTAAAAGCAAAATTAGTATTTCCTGGAGAAGAAATTCCACCTCAAGACTACAGCATCAACTCCTGCCCAAGAGGTTCCAACTTACTGACCTGGACTACAGATTTTGAACTTACCAACCCCCAAAACCATGTGAAAAAACACACACACACACACACACACACACAGAGAGAGAGAGAGAGAGAGAGAGAGAGAGAGAGAGACAGAGAGAAAGAGAGAGAGAGAGAGAGAGAATATATATGAGAGAGACAGCCATTGGAACTATCGGTTCTGTTTCTCTAGAGGACCTTCACTAACACACTTGGTGATATGGTTTGGCTTTGT